CAGCCAGTAGGTTGTTTTTCAACAGAACAAGGTGTCTTGCAGTTAGAGGGTTGAGACAAACCATTTGACTGTGGCAGGGTGCTTACAGTAACCAACATTTATTCAGTTATCTAAAACCTTTACCCCAAAAGGAATAAAATTGAAGCCAAACACCAGATAACACTTTATATTCAGTTAAAGAAAACAATTTGTTCTATCTATCCATCCAGTCGTATCCGACCCTTGGCGATTGCATGGACAATCACTTGTAAGCGACTTTTTCCATGAATTCTCTTTGCAATTATTTTTACAGGGTAGGTTGCCAGGTCTTTCCCCAACCCTTACCATGCAGGAAATTCAATTTGTTAGTGTATCTAAATCTGCTAGTACTTCTAAAACTCCCCTCCTCCTCCCAGACTGACAATGCTGCTGTCCAAATCTGCAACTTTTGCACCTTCATCCAGAGTGGAGGCATTCTAATACAGGAGGTGTGCTACTGGCCAGATCACCAGGTGAAAACAAAGGGGGAAAAAAACCTAAAAAAAAAGAAAACTAATGCAGCCACCACATTTAATGATTGGTAAGCTGCAATATATTACATTTTTGGGTTTCATATTCTAACCTCTCCCCGGAATAAGAATGCTGCTATTCAAGGATGTCCCTGTTGCTCCCCTGGTAGAGTTGAGACCAGGGGCGGACTGACCATTTGGAAACTCTGGCACTGCCCGAGGGCCCAGGGTCAGTAGGGGGCCCCATGAGATGCCCCTGGTACTTTTTTCATAGGCTTTTTTGAGCTTGGGCAATGACACAGGGGCCCCATGATCCCCCTATTGCCCAGGGGCCCCATGATCAGTTGTCAGTTCACCCCTGGTTGAGACACTCTATGACTTTGTGTTACTGGCCAGATTACCAAGTGAAAAGAAAAATAATACAGCCACCACATTGAAGGATTGATGAGCTTCAATATTTTACAATTTTGTTTTGAGTTTAAAATGTTACTAAACCCACAACAGTAAAATCAGTCTGTATTAGCAATAAAGCATGTTTGTTATACTCACTGTGGAACAAAAGGGGTTAATCCTCTGCATTGTGTAAAAAAGCTGTTTGATCCTGACTTCTCTGATCCTCCCCTTCTTCCAGTGTCCCCCTCTTATCTCCTAATAAGACAGACTGAACTGTAGCTATTCTGCACATGCTCAGTTTAGTGCATATTGCTACAGAGGGTTTTTTTTCTTGGGAGAGTGCATGTGATCAGCGCAGGGCCAATCAACACTGTCCAGACAGAGGGTCAGGGGTTTTGCATCCTCCCAGAGAAGAAAGAAAATTCTTCCTATAAGCTTTAACCAGTGCTCTGCTGGACACTGATATAAGTCACAAGACTGCTCTAACTGCTGATGAGAAAATGTATTTAGCATTTTATATTTACTAAAATAATTGTATTTCCAGGTTGTGTGTACTGTGGGAGACCAGATATAGTGAATGCAGGGTCCTGGGTTTAGTATCACTTTGACACTGTTTTATAGATGGAACCATGGTGGAGAAAAAAACCTGCACTGCTTTTTTCAAGGCAGTACAGCATTTTGGAGTCAATGCTCTAAGAGATAAATATCACATTTAATTTTTTAGTTAAAATAACTCATGCGGTATTTATTTCAAAAGTAGTCAATTCACTAAAAAACATGCACTGTTTACCGAATGCAATACATATTTATGTTTTGTGATATTATTACTTAAATTTTGCATTATTTTTGGTGGTTTTTCCTTTTTTTTGCAGGCTAACATTGCACCAGAATGCACACAACAATATGGTGAAAGTATGAAAACATTGTAGTGTGGCTTCAATCACAAACTGATCTCCCCCTGATGAAATGTTACAATGTATTTTCATTCCTGAGCTCAGAGAACATTTTCACATTGATACATTGTATACTTTTCACTTTCTGGCCAATCGGAGTCCCTCTAATTGTTATTTTGTACATTTCTAAATACTGCCAGCAAACACCTGATGATAAATAACAAATGTGTGTGTTTTTTAATGAATTGACTTTAATGATTTATTTCATGTTTTTTTCGTGGTATTTATCTATTTTAACAAATGTGTGGTCTTTACCTCACATTGGATATTTTACTTTGATGAATTAACTCTTTTATTGCGATATCTCTGAAAAATGAGTTGTGACCTTTACATAGCATGCAGTAACCTTTAGTGAATTGAACTCGGTGTCCAGTTGGGTCATATCTGTGCACAAAAAGAGACAGGTTTGTTGTAGTGCACTGTGTATGTACATTGTGGTGTTATACTAAATGAATGGCAAAGCACTTCACTTAGCTCTGTGTTGCTGTAATGCATGGGAAAAGCGCATTTTAATGCATGTTTCTGCATCTCACTAATCAGAAATGGCCTCTAAAGTGACACTAAATACACACTGTTTAACCCCTTCACGCCGACTGTACGCAATCATGCGGTCTCTCTGCGGCTGGGCCTTGACGCCGAGTGGCTGCATATTTGCGTACCATTTGAAAACTCATATGTGCTGAGAGTGCGCGCCCTGTGCGCTCCCAGCACATATGTCGGTGTCTTACGGAAAGGTCCCGATCTCCCCTTGCGATCGGGACCTTTTCTGATCATGATACCGCCGTGACAGCGGATTACAACGGTCACATGACCCTAAAACCCTGTCCCGCCTCCTGCATTTAAAACCCCTTAAAGGGCCAGGAGACACCGGTGTGGAGAGGTTATTTTCAGTATCCCTTCTCACCCCTGGTTCACATATCTGCGGGCCCCGTTTTGCGCGGACACGAGAGCCCATTCGTTGGAATGGACTCCTAGGACACGCAGGGAAGAAGTCCCTGCACTTCTTCGGAAAACACAGCCCACACGGGAACCTCGGATCCCAGTATGGTTGCGATTTCCACTGCTGGCGGCATGCTATTAGAATTAATGGCACCCGCCCACGGGTCTGCATTTCTCTGTGCGGGTGGTGCGGCTGCACGGATTTTTGTCCGGATCCGCAGCGGCACCACCCGCTCAGGTGTTAACCAAGCCTTAATGACCTAGATCTTCCCAATCCTGTCTGCAGAGAAACATAAGCAGAAGGTGCTTCTAGTCCTCTGCTACTGGTCACATGTTTAAAAAAAAAAACAAAAAACACCCGTTGGGATACAGAGTAAAAATAAATAATATCAATAAACTGTTTTACATTTCATACAAATGTATATTTGAAATCAAATATTTATGGCAATAAAATGGTGTGAGAGGATTTTTGCCAATCACAAGCTGTGTCACACCCCTCCAGCCTGTGTCTATTGTGTATATGTGCTTAGAATTAGTGGGAGGTGAAGTCTCCATCAATCAAGATGTAATATCTTGCCCCCACTGTGTTTAGCTGGTTAGTGGGCATGGAGGAGGGAGGAAGGGAGGGGAGTGTCATTTACTACTGTGTATATGTCCACATGTGTAACTCTGTACTGACATGGGCTACTGAGAAGTGATCATGGAGGAAATGCTCAGCATAGAAACTCACTGAAAACTGAGCTTGTGCAGAGCTGCCAACAGCTGCTCTGCAGACCCTCCAGCTGCAGTGGGGACATGGACTGAAGGGAGGGAGGGATAGAAAACAGGAGGATCAATCTGTTTTTTTTTGCAGAATACAGAAAATAAATCCCTTGGTGACTAAGTCAGCATGAACAGAATGTAATTCAGCATTTTATGATGTGGGTTTAATGACATTTTAAGCTGGTCATATACATACAAACTGAATGTACAATCTTTACCAAAGACTGTGTATTATGAGGACACACCTAAACATTCTCTTCAAACGATATCAAATCAGCCAGGCTCCTGACATTCATAGTCGTTGGCAGATCAGCTAGAAATTGTACCATCAGTTTGTATAGTGTATGGTCAGCCTTATACAGAAAGTAGTTCAAAGTCCAATTCTAGGTAAAATAGGTCAAAGCTCAATTCTAGGGGCAGTGGGGCTGCCCCTGTTCTGCAAAGGTTAAATGTTTGTTTAGATCTAAGGGATGGGAAAATCAGGAAAAAGCTCCCCTTTGCTCTGGTGGTGGACTGTTCCTCAGCGTCCCTGCGTCCAGTGTAGGACTATGGGCTCTGCACTAGGCTTGGTAATGACAGAGGAGCTGCCACTGCCGGAGTGCAGGGAAGAAGAGTCTACGGAGACCGGTCTAGCAGCACATAGGAGCCTGAGGGAGTGGAGGATCAGGTAAGTAAAACTGCTTTTCTTCTTTCCTTGGACCTAAACAAACATTTTAACCAATGCAACATTTAACACAATGCACGGGCAGCCTCACTGTAAGCCCTGGTTCACATCTGTTCGGTCATGTGGGCCGCGATTTTGCGCGGGCACAAGAGCCCATTCATTCACACCATGTTATTGCAGTACAGCACGGCAATGCGTATTGCTTGCACTGGTGTGATGTAGTGTCATTCATTCTGAATGGCACCCCAACGCACCTGCACCTCTTTTAGACCTTGCATATCTCATTAAAGAGAACCTGCCACCCCCCCCAAAAAAAGAAAATGAGTTACACCCAAGCACATTCAATTCCCCCCCCCCCCCCCATAACATATAGAACCCCCACCCCCACATATACGCACATACAAATGTAAACACGCACATTGGGGCACCTGTGCATGAAAATGTTGATTGCGATACACACGTTACATACCGCTATGCACTCCAGAATGAGAGCAATAACTCTAGCACCAGACCTCCTCTGTAACGTTAGACTGATGGCCTATAAGGGGATTTTAACCACTAGCCTACAGGACACTTATACCCCCTTCCTGCCCAGGCCAATTTCCAGCTCTCAGCGCTGTCACACTTTGAATGACAATTGCGCGGTCATGCAACACTGTACCCATATGAACTTTTTATCATTTTTTTTGTAACAGAGCTTTATTTTGGTGGTATTTAATCACCTCTGGGTTTTTTATTTTTTCTTAAACCAAAAACCACTGAAAATTTTTTGAAAAAAAAAAAGTTTTTTCTTAGTTTTTGTTATAAAATTTTGTAAATAAGTGATTTTTCTCCTTCACTGATGTGCGCTAATGAGGCTGTAGTGATGGCCACTGATAAAATGCACTGATGAGGCACTGGTAGGCGGCACTGATGGGCATTGACAGGCATCATCACTGATGGGCATTGACAGGCATCACTGATGAGCACTGAAAGGCAGCACTGATATATGGCACTGATAGGCGGCACTGATTTGCAGCACTGATAGGTGGCACTGACTGGCACCGATGGGTGACACTGAAAGGCAGCTCAGATGGGCACTGATATGTGCCATTGATGTGCACTGGTAGGCACTGATATGTGGCATTGATGTGGCACTGATGGGCACTGGCACGTGGCACTGTTCAGCACTGACGGCTGGCACTGATGGACACTGACAGGTGGCACTTCTGGGGCCACACTGATCATCAGGGCACACTGATCATCAGTGCCCTGATGATCAGTGTAGATGTCCCCTCCGCGGAACTCGATTACCGGCTCTCCTCCCCTCTCGAGCTGTCAGCATGACAGCTCGAGAGGAGAGAAATGCCGATAACTGACATTTCCCTGTTTACATGTGATCAGCTGTGATTGGACACAGCTGATCACATGACAAAGCCGACATCTTCAGCTCTTTCCATGGATCGGTGATCCGCTGTGTCCGAGGGACACAGCGCACCGCCGATCGCTGCGCGCTGAGAATGGAAGGACGTCATATGATGTCCTATCAGAACGAGAGAACCACCTTGCACCCATCATTGGACTATATGGCGGGCTGAAGGTGGTTAAAGTGCTACCTATAGAAAATGCAGAGTACTGAAGTTTGGCTCCTAACTTTTCTAGCTGGCTCCTAGATTCAAATCAAATTTGTCAAGCCCTGCCCAATAGGATCTAGTGAAATTTACCTTCTTGCCTTGCAAAAATGCAAGTTGCCCGGTTGTCATGTTGATGCAATGGTTTTTTTGGTTATTGAAACCAAAGACAGCTGAGGAACCAGCATTAAAAAAGGTGGTCGGCCATAGCAGCCTCTGCTTTTCTATCACAACAGGTTTTCTCTAACAGCTTTAATAACTTCAATACCAGACACTTTCACCCCCTTCCTGCCCTCACCAATTTTCAGCTCTGTTACACTTTGAATGACAATTGCGCGGTCATGTAACACTGTACCCATATGACATTTTTTTCGCACAAATAAAGCTTTCATTTGGTGGTATCACCGCTGTTTTTTTTATTTTTTCTTAAATAAATGAAAGACCAAAAATTTTGAACAAAAACCCCACATTTTTCTTAATTTCTGTTCCAACATTTTGCAAATAAATAATTGCTCTTCATATATTTAGGTCAAAATGTATACTATACTGCTACATTTCTTTAGTGATCAATCCTGATGTACTGATGGCCTCTCATTTCTTGAGACCCGAAAATGTCGGGGCAGTACAGATATCCCCCAAATTACCTTTTTTTTAGAAAATAGACAGTCTTAAGGTATTTAGTAAGAGGTATGGTGAGTTTTTTTGATCTTGTAGCTTTTTGTCACAATTTTTGGAAAATGAGGAAATTTTAAAAAATGTGTTTTTCACAATTTTTAACTTTTCTTTTTTACATACTGTTACCAGTGCTGTACAGTGTCATCGTGTGACTGGCGTGGCAGTGATCAGGAACACTGACTGGTGACAGTAGTAAAAACAAAAATAAAATAAATATAAAAATTTTTCAATATTTTTCTTTTGTATTAGATTTTTCTTTTTTTTTTTTTTTTTTTTTTTTTTTTTTTTACATACAGTGACCAGAGAAATACATAGTAACACTGTACTACTTTTTTTTGTCTAACACACAATGATTGCTTATAACTGTGCATTTTACAGTTATAAGCAACCATTTTTTTTTTTTTCAGAATGAAAACTGTTCGTTCAGTGTTTACTGTTGGCCACAGCTAATCACATGGTACAGATGGGCTGTGATTGTCCCTGTCTTTACCATGTGATCAATGTGACCAATCACACAGCTCATCACATTAGTACACAATGAAAAACATCAATCAAATCAAAGTCTTTCATTGTGTACAATTGTCAAGTGATCTGCTATGATTGGCCACAGAAATCACATGGTACCGGCAGCAGGCCAGTACAATGATCTGTAATTGGCTGTAACCAGTGGACATAGCGGGTGACAGATTGCGCTGGAGCATGGCCCGATTCTGGGAGGATGTTATATGACATCCTCCCAGGATAATAGAGCTCCTGCCAGACCGTCAAATTACAATGCACTAGGCGGGAAGGGATTAAAGTGATTATGAACCATCACTAAAATATAATTGAAAGGCGCCTTCATACCCTATATGCTTTGAGCTTCATAAAAGCTGGGGGAAGAAAAACAACAACACACAGATCTTCCCAGTGAAAGGCTGTGCAGGGGGTTTTGTCAGCACAAGACTCTTCCCTCAGCTTCACAAGTTGCTCATAGGGCTGGGGAATGAGAAATCACAGCACACTGGTCTTCCCAGTGAATGTCTGTGTGGTGGGGGGGGATGTCAGGACAAGTTGATCATTAGAGAAGAGCACACTGAGTTCCCATCACAGCTAGAGAACTGACCACGCTGTGCTCTCCTGCCTAGTGTGGTCACTTTTTAACAGAAAAGCAGAGGAACTGGCAGGAACACCAGGGATTACACACAAAGGAAGCAATACAAAAAGAACAGGATACTTTTTCATCCAAGTACATGGTACAGCAGGCACATATCAGGAATATGAAATGGTGGGTTTACATATTCTTTAAAACATTTATAATTTTTGCCGTTGCCTTTCTTAATAAGCTAGCCTAGCCCTCCCATACTCACCACATGCTCGTGTTGGCAGCCTTTGGCCAGTCTGTAGCATAATGGCGATGCCTCTAGTGACGTTTACACAATATCTTCCCATAGGGAATGGTCTATCTTCCAAGACAAGAGACATTCGCATCACAGGCCTTTAGAGCACAGATGCAGTCAGCACACTGAAGATCAGGCTGCCGGAAAGTAAACAGCAGTGGAAGCTGTGTGTAGCACTATGTATGTATCTCAGATGCATGGGCTAGGCTAGCTCAGTGGGGGTGCGCGTTGATATTCATGCAAGATCTGATTTAATTTTAGGTGGGTACTGGCTGGTTTGTACCTACTTGTACTACTTATTCTCTCTTGGGGGTTATGATGTGACATTTTCCAAAAGTAGCTTGTAACTCCACCCCTAGGCAGTGGTAGAGGTGTTGTCAATTGAATGCCTATCATCTACTGTACATTATGGATATTAAATCATTTGTCTATGCAGCCAGCACATAGAGTATCTCACAAAAGTGAGTACACCCCTCACATTTTTGTAAATATTTTAGTATATCTTTTCATGTGACAACACTGAGGAAAGTGAGAGCGATAACACCAAATTTAACACACTTGTTCCCCATTCACACCTGAGACCTTGTAACACTAACGAGTCACATGACACCGGGGAGGGAAAATGGCTAATTGGGCCCCATTTGGATATTTTCACTTAGGGGTGTACTCACTTGTTACCAGAGGTTTAGACATTAATGGCTGTGTGTTGAGTTATTTTGAGGGGACAGCAAATTTACACTGTTATACAAACTGTACATTCACTACTTTACATTGTAGCAAAGTGTCATTTCTTCAGTGTTGTCACATGAAAAGAGAGAATAAAATATTTACAAAAATGTGAGGGGTGTACTCACTTCTGTGAGATACTGTACATGAAAGTGAAATAAAAATGTTCCCGACTGGTGCCAAAGATGAAGAGATTCCAGCACTGATACAAATAATCATGTACCAGCTTATTCTGTAAGGAAAAGTACTTGTGCCCAAAGCAACCAATCAGATTTTGGATTCCTTTGATCTGACTTCAGGAGACTAGGTTACTGTGTGTTGCACATCATCCATGCTCTTCCAACTGTCTTATTGCAAGCAGTGTAGGGATTTACAAGCTACAGAGTCAGCATGCAGAAGAGATGATGGTCTAGTGTTGCTGATTTCTGCATCATGTACTTTACCTTTTCTTCCTTGTGTACCCCAGCTTACGAAAAACCCCTATCCTGTTATTGTTAACAATATGCAAATAATTACATATTCATTATTTATATATTAAAGTAGTATATTATTGGAAATGTTCTCGGACCTAATTGTTGGCAACAAATGGGATCATTTTATATCTGCTCTTGTGATCTGGAATAGAATTGATAAAAGCCCAGTGGGTACATGAGCTGTTTGCAGGTGGTAGGGCCACTGATTGATTGACCACTGAGCAGGCACCAAATCATTGCTTTTGCCTGCATACAAACATTTCCCTTCACTGCTGCTACAACAGAAGGAGCCCATAGTCTTGGTTCACAGTACTGCGACCTGAAAGTCACGCAACTTACATTGCGACTTTGCGTGGCGACTGAAGCAACCTTGAAGCAAGTTACAGGGAATGCCTGGGTAATCTTCCTGTAAAGTAGGATCCAAATCACATCAATATAGATGAGGATCAGACTTGGAAGCAACTTCTAATAAAGTCTATGGGCATAAGTCGGATAGAAGTCGCCTTGTAATAGTACAGGAACCTTTTCTAAGTTGCAGCGATTTCATTAGTACTAATTTAAGATAGTTCTCATTGATTAACATGAGATTTCACATGTCATACGACTTGGGGTCTCACAAGTTGGATCCCAAGTCACGGCAGTGTGAACCATGCCTTAATGTTCAGAGCTGAAGAAATATATAGTATTACATTGTTCCTATATTACAGGTATTTTTACAGCACTTAAAATTTTATGCAGAATTTTACATACATTCACCAGTCACTTTATTAGGTACACTGGTTCAATTACTTGGTAACACAAATTGCTAATCAGCCAATCACATGGTAGCAACTCAATGCATTTAGGCATGTAGATGTGGTAAGGACGACTTGCTGAAGTTCAAACCGAGCTTCAGAATGGGGAAGAAAGGGGATTTAAGTGACTTTGTATGTGGCATGGTTGTTGGTGCCAGACGGGCTGATCTGAGTATTTCAAAAACTGCTGATCTACTGGGATTTTCACACACAATCATCTCTAGGGTTTACAAAGGATGAAAAAGAGAAAATATCCAGTGATCGGTGGTTGTGTGGACGAAAATGCCTTGTTGATATCAGAGGCCAAAATAGAATGTGCAGACTGGTTCAATATGATAGAAAGACAACAGTAACTCAGATAACTATGTGTTACAGCCTAGGTATGCAGAATACCTTCTTTGAACATACCACACATCAAATCTTAAAGCAGATGGGCTACAGCAGCAGAAGACCACACCAGGTGCCACTCTTGCCAGCTAAGAACAGGAAACAGAGGCTACAATTTGCACAAGCTCACCAAAATTGGACAATAGAAGATTGGAAACACGTTGCCTGGTCTGATGGGTCTCGATTTCCATAGAGATGCGTGAAA